TGGCTGAGGAAAATATAAAGAAATGATGCGTGACTCAAGACTTCAGACTTCTTCTCAGTTCTCTAAACTAACTACACATGTTCATAGAACCTTAGTAGCAGATATTGAAAACCTATCTCAAGCAGTTTTTCAGAAAACTGAATAATTGAAATAAACGAATAACAGCTGTGATTTAATTCACATTAAGAAGTTTATCTTTCCCCTGGAATTTTGTCTGAGATGTTCAGGTAGAATCTGCTAAAAATAACACTGATCACACAGCCAGTTATTTAAATCTGGAAAAAATGTTTATTGAATAGAGAAAAAAAAAAACAGGACAGTTTGTCAAAAATAAACACCACTGACTCTTTATTAACATTTTGGTGAAATAAATCTTAAGAGTGCCAAGTCAGCTGACCTCACCTTTCTTTCCGAATATAATCTGTAAAATCTGTGAATGCAGCTGCAAAAGATGCAGATATTTCAACTTCCTGCACAGCATCTTCAGGTAAACCCTGACAAACCGCAGATTCCATCTACTAAACAAAAAAGGCTACAAGTGTATTATTATTATTATGATTATGGTGATACAAACACCAAAACAGCCTCATGTACAAAAAAAAAGAAAGAAAAACTTCACGTCACCCATATAAAATGTCATTTTTTGTGATATTACCAGCTTTCGTTTGGATTTCCTTAAACAGTTTTATAATTAGTGTTAATTTAATTTGTGAAAACGTCATGCCTGGAGGAGTTAGTATTTACAGACTGTGACATAAAGTCAGCTTGTGTCATTTGGCAAAGTCGTAAATGAGGCAACAATTTGCCAAACCTATGAAGGATAATGACCCTTTTGCTTTTTTTTTTTTGGATAAAATACATATTACACATAATGAGAAAACACCTCAAACAGAAAGCCATACACCTTTGTCATACACCCGAGTTCTGCTGCAACAAACCAGCGTACCGCTGGCTCTACTTCCAATAGAATCTAGACACAGAGATTCGAGTATGTTTGTATTAAAGGCTTCGCCACAGCGCTCAATCTCTCCGAAGGTTATTCAGACGCTCCTCCAGGTCTGCGTCTGCGTCGGCCAGGGTCGCCTGAGGCTCCGCCTTCTTCCCTCCTGCCACCGACAGGCTTCCGCCAGTGCTCGGCAAGCCTGAAATAAACACGGGGCGTTAAAAGAAAATATCCAGAGAGTCAAAGAAAAAAAACGTAAAAGGGTTTTTTTTTTTCTTACTTGACAGTTCATCGGACAGGTTCAGACCCAGCTCATCCAGCACTTGGGACACAATGGCGTCGCTGTGTAGGAAGCACAGACATGGAGAGTAAATCAGAAGTCTGCCAGTCGTATTGATATTGGGTGCCAGATAAACTTCTTCTTTAAATGATTTTAAAGAAGACTGTTTAATAAATCATCTAATCAAATCAAAGGACAGCAGGGCCACCAGAGAGGGTATCTCACTACTGTCAATAAAAAACAAACAAACAAAACTTAAAAAAAAAAAGTAATAGAATAAAAGAGTGTTCTAGATCTCAAACACACCAGATCTGTGATCACTTTTAGCTCATATTTGTCTTTTGTCCGTAAGTGTGTTCTGTTGTATATCTGTCAGCTTCGTTTCATGCTACCTGTCGGGGCGGGCACTACGGATGTAAATTAGCAGCTAAATTGCTTATTGTAGCTTCATTTTTACACAGCTGCTAAAGATGATGGGAAATATGATGAAATTAAAAGATGCAAAGGTTCTACTTCCACATAATTTATCTTATACTTTGATTTAAATGCTGTACTATACTGCTGTTGATATACTAGCACCCTTCTTTTAAACTGTTTATTCCAAACGATAGTTGTCCAATATTACACCTTTCTCATATTTTATTAGTTTTGTTTCTAATGTTTTAAAAATTTAATAAAAGATCTCAAATACAGGAGCTTCCTGGCCTTGAAAATCCATTGTCAGGAAGCTCCACGTCCACAGTTTATGTGCTGATGTTAATGCTAGAGGAAGTTTGGAGCTCTACAGTTATGAACTCAGCAGAACGTTGGCAACTTCTAGACCCGCTCTGTAGCTTCATTTTTTAGTTGAGTTTCTCTGGTTCCTAAACACATGACTTGGTGCCATGCTGGCATCCTATTACAGTACCACGCTGGAAATCATTGAGCTCTTTGTTTCACAAATATTTGTAAAAAATAAATCACAGGCCTGGGTGATTGATTTATACACCTGTAGCATTGAGACTGAAAACACCTGAGATCCAAGATTAAGAGACTGAACAGCTCAGTACTTTGGTCTGGTCATGTTCCGATGCTCTGAGAATCCCTCACCTCTCCTCCTCATCATCCTCGTCTCCCATGGCGTCGTCGATGGCGTCGTTCATCATCTCTTCCTTCATGTCCATGATTTCACTCTGTCGCTCAAACTCCATCATGATCTTTTGGATCTGAGGCAGTTTCAGCTGTGGGGATGGGATGAATAAATGAGAGTCTGTCAGCACGTTGAGCACGGTGCATTACTATTTTTTAAAAGCTGGATCACAGAATGTTTGCTGGTTATCGGACCTGTCTGTTCATGGTGGCCATGGCTTTGGTGACGCCTTTCATCGCCTGCGCCATACTGTTGTTGGACTTCAGTGTCTGTATCTTCAGGCTGACCGCCTGAATGTTGGCTTTCATCATGATGAACTTCTTAACGTAGCGCCTAGTGCGCACTAAATCTTTGGCCATGATCTTGACGGCGTCCTGCAAAGACCGAAACGATAAAATCACTGTGAACATTCTTCCGGTACAAACGAAACTCTGCTCACAAGCCCCACGGCCTCACCATTTGCCCCTGTTTGGCCATTTTCTTGATGTCAGCGATAATCTTCTTCTCCTGCTGCTCCAGCTTCATTCGCTCCCGGTCCAGTTCTCGCATGGCTCGGTTGAGTGCCCGCTGATTCTGCCTCAGCATCTCCTCCGGAGTCTTCCTCCTTCCAAACAGGAAATCCATCTGGATGTGGATATAAGCAGAGGATCAAATTTGATCAAACAAATATCAGTTATGGCTCCTTTTTTATATTCCTGCAGTCCTCTGGGATCAGTAGCCATATGATGTGGTGATTGAGTAAGAAACAACAGGAACCATTGAAAGTACCCTCTACCTTCAGTTATAAAGTGAGATTAATCTATCTATCTATCTATCTATCTATCTATAGGTTATCGAATACGCCAGTGCCTTTAAATCGTTTTTATCTGGTTCATTATTCGATTAATCAATCAGTTGGTCAACAGGTAACAGTCTTCCACAAAACAAAAAATGTCAAGGATTTCCCTTCTTCTCTGATGAGCTTCTCTGTCACACATGGAGTTAAAATAAATCCATGTGGGTCAAGATAACAAAAACAGGTAACAAAAACAAAAGATTAATAAAAATTTAAAATTAGAATGGAGAAAAATAAAAGTAACTGAAATTTTGATAAACGCAGACTGAAATTACATGAAAATATGGACAATGCAGTCTGCAGTTTTAGTCTCGGTGAGCCTGGTGAGGCTTTGTTCCACATTTCCTGAGACCTGAGATGACCACATGACTATGAATCAGCTCCCTTCAAAAACTCCTGTGTTTATATTGTGGTGTGTATTCTGATCACCAGTCCCCCCCCACCCCACCCCCAAGTAAATATATAAATAATTAAAATTAAAAATACTAAAACTTACACCGATAACAGTGGACATTAATGGTTATTTTAAGCCTGAAATATCAGACATCATAATCCTAACTCAAACCTGAGCTCACTCCATTGGCTTACAAACACATTATTAATTATTAAAATCGCTTTTCATCATTACTGTGTCAATAAATTGATAAATAAATGCCTGACATTTGGTCATTTGGTGGATGTGAGAATACGAGGAGGGGGGTTTGTATTTGAACTTCTCTGCCTTCCGTACAAATAAAACCCCCACTCTAAACAAATTTACAGCGACATTTTCTACACATATAAACTGGCCGTCTCAGGCTGTCACGAGCCCCTGTTTACTGGACGGTTACTCAGCAGTCAGTTATGTGACCAAAGGCCTGAAGTCTAAATCCAGCCTTGTTTAGCTCGGTTGTTCTCCCCCTCTGGCAGGGCAACAAAAACCAACAGGTAACCCCACCACAGCGTGAGGCCGGCGGTTAAATCTCACCGTGTGCGGTGGAGACGGGGGTCCAGACGGCGAACACGGCGCGAAGAGGCGTCAGCTAAGACTTCTGCTCGAAACAAATTTAAACGGTTATTTGTTTTCTTTCCTACGCTTCCGTGTTGCTAGACTTTTACTTCCCGGAAATTACGCCATCGCGCACACCCAGGCAGACGTCAGTTTTACCATGGCGTCACATTTGTCACGTGCCTACAGTCGACACCGAGAAAGACAGACATACATTTCAAAATAAAAGCTAGAGAACTCTTATACAGTAAAGCTAGCTAAAAAGATAGCTACAAGCTATTGTTATTTATTTAATTTATTTATTTTTTGCGTTTAACTTAATTCTTAACAAAGGAAGCTGTAACAAGCTGTAACAAAGGAATCTTACAGCCATACAGTGCTGTGATAAAGCTATTGGCCCCACCCTAATTCTTTCTTTTTGATTTTTGTCTTTTTAAAAATATTTGTCACAGTTGGGAAGTTGGGAAATAAAACATATAGAAAAATATACTGATTAAAATTAAAGCAAAGCAAAACATGCAATAACGATAAAATTATACAAATAAAACCAAATAGATAATACAACAGAAAAGTAATTAAATAACAGTTTATCCATAGAAATAGACGTTTAATGACCAGTACGAAAATGAAACTAAATATTACAACAGCAACAAAAGTACATGTCAGACTTGACCCCGTAAGAAAAATGTTATTTATGCGAAATGTATTATTTTAATTCCATACATTTCCAGCTTTGGGTGACGCCTGTCATCAGACTAGCAGTCTCAGGCTTTTATTTTGTAGGGTAAATGACTCCACGTCAGGTCATAATATCCGCTGCTTGCTGAGACTGGATTGCACATGTGCGTAAAGGCTACAAGCATGTCTGCTGAGATAGGAAGTTGGTTCTTTAACTCATCGTGACAGATTATCAGTGAAGGTCTCTGACACATCTGTGGATTGATGGACTTCTCGGGAAGCTGATTCGAGTTTCTCCAGTGCAGAGGCTGCCCCTTGTATAAATATGGCTGGATTTATTGCAAATCAGCACAGGTTGCTGCTTGTATTGAACAGAAGATTTCACGCACCTTTATCAGCCTCCCAGGTTGCCTTTTACTACGTAACAGCTTCACACCTGAACCCAAAGGACAGCAAGGTCAGCCCTGTAGCGAGGGGGCGCTCCAGGGTCCAGCACAAGCCTGCAGAAGGGCAGGAGCATGAGGGGTCAACTCAAAGAAAAGTGTTTAAAAGTGAGATCTCACTGCTGCAGAAGCAGATGAGGGGAGATGACTTCAGAGTGTCACCTGAACTCAGGAAACTGTGCTTGGAAGATTTCCGTGCAGAGAGGGAGAGGCAGGTGAAGCAGAAACCTGCACCTGAAGCCAAATCTAAGGACTGCGAGGTTGTTTTTGGCGTTGCTCCCTGCTTCTTGGCTCTCACTCAGGGAAGGAGGAGGGTCCGTAAGCTGTTTGTAAAAGATGGCGAGGCCTCTCACAGGGCGTCTGTGTTGAAGGTGTGCGAGGAGGCTCATCTGCGAGGAGTTCGAGTCCATCGGGTCAGCAGGAAGGAGCTGGACAAGATGTCCAATGGGGGAGTCCATCAGGGAGTGTGCCTGCTTGCCAGTCCCCTGAGCTACCTCACCGAGGACTCTGCACCCAGCAGGAAAGATGCTCCACTGTGGCTCGTTCTGGAGAGAATCCACGACCCCATGAACCTCGGCGCCATCCTGCGCTCTGCTTATTTCCTCGGGGTGGACAGAGTCGCCAGCAGTCTTCGCTACACCTGCCCGCTGTCTCCAGTGGTCAGCAAGGCGAGCTCGGGCATTATGGAGGTGATGGGGGTGTATGGATATGAAAACCTTGCAGAGATGTTGAAGCTGAAGATGGAGCAGGGCTGGCAGGTGGTTGGCACAGTGGGACAGGAAGCAGAAGTGTCGCAGATGCCCATCACCAAGTGTTCAGACTTTAAAATGACCAAACCCACGTTGCTGCTGATGGGAGGAGAAGGAGAAGGACTCTCCAAGGAGCTGCTCTCCACGTGTCAGACACTTCTCACCATCCCAGCGGGCAGGGAGCTGGTGCCTGGCATCGAGTCTCTCAACGTTTCTGTAGCCACAGGCATCCTGCTGCACTCTTTGCTGTCCTCCAGGAGCTCGACCACATGACAGCCACCTCAAATAGCCTCCCAAATGAAGATGCAAGGTCACTGACAACACAACCAACCACAGGAATAAATAGTTCAGTGTAATCTTGAGTACAAATTCATAGAAGACCAAACCAGAGCCCTCATACTCTTCTCTGCTGTTGTGTCTAAAAACGACTATTCCTGAAAACAGGACTGAGTAGCATTTGCTGGAAACAAAAAACACAACCCACCTGTTTCAAGAAGTTACGTAGCCTTTAAAATAAATACACATTATTTATTTATTGCCTATTTTCAAGATTGATGTTGTCAGTGGAAACCAACAAGTCTCTGCGTGATTGTTTCCTGGGATTTGTTGACTATATTTTCTCTGCTATCTGTTATTTGGCATTGATGTTATTTGATACTTGTTACTTGATATCAATGTTTTAAGTCATCTTACTGTGTAATTTGTATCTTTGTACAGCACTTTAGTCAACGCTACTGTTGCAATTAAATGTGCTATATAAATAAACTAAACATAGGTAAACGTCCACATTTTCAAACCTTATCCATGTGTGTTTTGATTCAGTACCGGAGTACGTCCTGGTCGCCCAGCATCAGGACTGTGTAGTGTCTATTATTTTTATGTCTTTTGCTCACATTTTAAGGTAGGTTTCTGTATAATCAAACATGGATTTGGGTACGCCAAAGTTTCAAGGTGCAAAATGTCCTCCACATGTCAGTTTGAGGAACTTTTGATTGCACAATTGAAGCATGAGGACCAAGCGTGACAGCTACACTTTTTCTGTGTTTTGCTCCACACAAGGTTTCTTTTATCCCCCTCACAAATGTTGCTGTCCTCCTCACAGACCCTTGGTTGTGTGATGATACAGTAAATCTAATTATGATTTTTCTGCATTTGCAAAAAAATATTTGGTAACACAGTGTTTCTTGTTTAAGTTTTGGTCCTCCTCCAGAGGCCTGGATGTTTGAGGATTTGATGGTTCGGCTGCACCTTCCTGAACAGAGACCTCTGATGTTGTTCCCAGAGACTGTTGGAGCCATGATTCCAGCTCCTGTTACCAGTGGGACGCTTTGATTTTACCTTCCAGTTGTTCCTTGAGCCACTGGGAATTCTTGATTATCTCATATCCCTTCTATCTAATGCTACTGTCAGCTGCTATTGCCCAATCTATCACAGCTGCTGTCTTCTGCTCTTTTGCAATCACCGCTATCTCTGATTGGTTGGCCAGCAGCTGCTTGTGTATCCCACAAGATTCTCATCCACCTCAGAGGTGTCTCCCATCACAACAGATAGGTTCCAACCCCTACCCGCTACTTTAGGTTGGATAAGTGGCGGGTAGGGAATGGCAGATAACTTTTCGGACTATTCCTCCAAAAATGTGCATATGTATATATGTATGTATATATATATGTTTCAGCATATAACTTACATTTTAAGTCAACTGATTTCAATTTTCTCTTTATCTGCTGTCTTTTGTCTTCGCCTTACACGTTATTTATTGTACACATGTTGACCCTTGACCAAAGAAAAGAAACACCTGTGGAATAAGTGACACCATAATGACTCATATGCATTTACTGCCCCAGTACACCATGACAATGAGTAGACATGCACAGCACAGTAGGAGGACCTCCCCTAAGTGGAATGCAGCCCTGATTAATAAACCAGTGCTTTTCCTGCTGAGACATGCCGACTGTCCGCTGAGGAAAGAAGACTGCGGTTACGCTTCACATCAAACACTACGTGTCCAAAGGTTTGTGAACATATGATCACAGCAGCGGGGAATTTATCAGTCACAAGACCATCAGTGACGTGCAGCACTGATACTGGCTGATAAGGTGTCGATCACATCTGCTGCTTTAGTTTATCTTGGAGGCATGAATAAGGGTGACGTCAGGGCTCCATGCAAGCTTGTCAGGTTCTTCCTCACCAAACTGTAAAACTATTTACTGAAGCCCAGGGCAAATGCACAATTTTTATTGGTTGTCAGATTGTAAGCTCATAGTTTTGCTCATCTCCTGTGACAGGTGTGTTCCCATGAGTGTTGTCTTCTTCTTTACTATCAGGAAAAACAAGCAGTTCTTACACTTCTATTAACAAGAATCCTAAGAATAAAGGAAAGACAGTAGGAGATGTCTACATACTTTTGGTCATGTTACTGAGATAAGATCTCCATTTAAAAAACACTTTTCGTTTTTTTGTAGAAACTGAAAACTTAAAGTGACATTTACAAATTAATGAAAAAATAAAAAGTTTGTGGAAATATACTAATTTTTTTTGTTTAAACCTTTACAACTAAAACTGCAAATACAAACCAACTTTCATTATCTAGCAAAGAAAATAGCATTTGAAGAGAATATAATGAAAGCTAGAACAAAACAGATACATAAAAGTTAATTTTTCATATTCTGACTGCTGTCAGACATCTCTGACACAGTCATTTCCTAGATTTTTATATAAATAAAGTATTTTTTTTTATTATTATTTTCATATAATGGCTTTCATATCAGTTACACACATCAGTGATTTACTCAGGAGGTTCGACCTGTGCCTAAATGATACTTTTCATCAGGTGGTAATTAAGTCCTTTTGGACTGCACCAAGATCCACATTTTTTCCAGAAAGCTAAAAGCTTTCCAAGCTTTCACTATAACAGCTATTTACATCCAAACCAATCCTCACTCTTAAGAGGTCAAACTTAGTTTGGTAAATCTTATTTAGGATTTTAACATTCACCCTTATACTTTCTGCTTTTCTTCAACGTCAAATTTCAGAATATGATCACAGTTTATCAGTTTTAATTTCTATTATTAGAATTTTTGTCTTCCAATTCACTTAAACACAGGTTAGTCACCAGTGTGGGTTTCCTCATTTTAGTTTAAGTGCTTCAAATTTTTTTAATTGTGTTTTTTGTTATTTCAGTGGTAGTTTTAGCTTGTCTTTATTATGTAATGGGTGGCATTTGTCAGGGACAGATGAAATGTTTAAAACTGTCGCATAATAAAATAGTGGTTTAACACATTTGCAAATAAGCGAAAGATTCCCAGTTTCATCACAGGAGTTGGCACAAGTCCCTTTCGGGTTGTGTCAGGAAGTGTGTCTAGTGTAAAAAATCTGTCATAACCGCCACATGGAATGACCTGCTGTTGTAGCTCCTTTTAAATAAGCGTCAGGGGCGGATCTAGAGAAATTGTCTCAGGGTGGCATGAGGGTGGCATGGAAATCAGATTGGGTGGCAAAATCAAAGCTTTTTTTTAAAAAAAACCAAAACGCAGGTTTTACATATGGTTAAAATGATTCAAATGCAGTAAGTATACACATGTTATGTAGACCACATAGTTAAACATTCAGTTACATAAAACATGTGAATTTTGAGTTTATGCACTGTACAGCCTGTATAATAAATAAATATGTAGCCCAATACGTATAAAATCCAGAAAGCAACACAACATGGGGCGGTTCATTTACAAGGAAAGGTCTAACTTAAGTTTCGCTTTTGGAAAAAAATTACACTGTCAGGAACAAGATTTTAAATTTGTATTTCACCTTCAAATTGTTTTATTTTATTTTTTACCTTGCCTTGCTTGGCATCATTCTTTTCAGCTCCACCTCAGGTGTCTGAATTTACAGTTATTTTTTCATCGACATACTCTATTAACACAACTGATCTGAAATAACACAAAAAACATACAATCCTAGTAGTAGTTTTTTTTTAACTGTAAAAACCACAAACATGTTTAGTAAATTATTTTCACAACTTCAAATGCAAATATAAATTGTACATTTTGAAAACTTATGCATACATTTTGTAAACAATAAAGTTATATACAACTATTTATCTAAAAATGCAGCCAACACATCTGGTGTTTTTTTTTTTTTTTTAAAAATTGTACAGCCATTTAAAAATACTACTATAACTAAAACGAAAAAAAAATTTGGTGTTACGATAAAATGTCCCAGAAATCATTTTTGCCAGTACAAAAACAGAGGAGAAAACCACAGGGATAAACCCTGCAGGCCTCTAAATAGGTCTTTCACTTCTCTGGTTTTCCACCTGGAGACAGTTTACATTGCACACTAAGTATACCCTAACTCTAAGATCTAAAAAAAAAAATCTTAACCCCCCCCCCCACCAAAAAAAAAAAAAAATCACTATGAGGGTGTCCAAATTCATAGGCGACACCATCACACCCAAAACCTCCCCTTCTTCCTAATCATACGAAACCCACGTGTTGCCGTTTCCACCAATAGGAAAGAGGTGGCTATTTTTCCTTATTTACTGTTTTCGCGCTGTCCTTAGAAGACGCTTTTTTTCTCTTTATGTGCAAAAATGTTATGTTGTAGACATTGAAAGAAATATTATATATTATAATTTGGCTCTTTAAAAATCTTCTGGGTGTGGAGTTTCTTTATGAAAACTAAAAACCTGACAGGACATCTCGGTCTCCATAGGGTGGCAGTAGCGGAGTAGCAGTAGCAGCGGAGGTACCAATCAGCCTGCCTGATGACTGAGGAAGAAGAGCGGAGCACACAATGCACTGCACGGTTGACAAGGGTTGTGTCTCCCTGGTTTTCGCGATAAATCTCCAGTTCAGTACAAACTCTCGAAGAGGCAGCAGTGGAACCGACCTGTTTCTTTCTTTATAACCTACACACTGGATTTATCGAGGGAAAAAAAGAATTCGGTGACCGGAAACGACGGCGATTGGTCAAGCTTCTCCTAAACATTGGATTACAGAGGCTGCATGAAGGAGCTGCCCAGCCCAACGGGGCTCGGCCGACACCCTCGTTTATGGAAATCGACCCCGAGGCTTTGATGCTTGGGCCTCGGTTTTTTTCCTTTATGATGGAGGTGGAACGACTCAACAGTTTTATGTGAAGGAGAGGGATATTATTTCGTGGATAATTCGTAGAATAAAAACCCGCTTCCGTATTCTTCCTGCTTCCTCTTAAAAAATTAGAGATAGTTGGTTGTTGCTAACAGCTGGATTGGCTAACGCTGACTAGCATCCATGCTAATGTTACGTCTTTCTTTTGATGCGACTCAGCTACCACTATCGGCCATCAACAACCCGACAGGAGAAGATTTTGCCCTCTTGGCTGCTGATTATTAGTTATATTCACACTCCACAGCCCGGCTTATCAGTGTTTACAGAAACGTTTTAAGAATAAAGTTGTATTCTTAGTTTGTCGGGCTTATATTATTATAAATTGAATTAGCCGCGTATAGGCTAACTGACGTTCGCTAACAGCAGCCATTTACTATTTAAAGTAAAGCAGACAGCTCTTTTTATTCCTCGTAAGGCGTAAATTAGAGTAACTGTCAGTATT